TGCTGTGGCTCTCAACATCAAAGCACTATGTCCATGTGTTAAATTCATTCTTTCCTCAGGAAGGCTTTGAATCCATCCATCCATCCTTCCTTCCTTCCTCCCTCCCTTCCCTTTAACCCAGGGGCACTGTACCACATATCTTTGATATGATCTTGCTAAATTGACCAGACTGTCCTTGAACTTGTGATCCTCCTACCTCAGCCTCCCAAGTAGTTGGATTATGGGCCTGTCCCACCATGCCTGGCTGAAATGTATTTTATTTTTTTTAAATATTTATTTTTTAGTTGTAGTTGGACACAATACATATTTTTATGTGGTGTTGAGGATTGAGCCCAGGCCCTCACACATGCCACAACCCCAGCCCAGAAATGTATTTTTTTTTTAATATTTATTTTTTAGTTATTGGCGGACACAACATCGTTGTTGGTATGTGGTGCTGAGGATCGAACCCGGGCCGCACGCATGCCAGACGGACGTGCTACCGCTTGAGCCACATCCCCAGCCCCCAATGTATTTTAAATGTAAACATTTTAAGAGAAATGTAGCCCTTGTTTCTAACAGGAAACCCACCCCCAAAGAATGATCCATCTACCCCCAGTGTTCCCTCCCCACCACTGCAGGTCTCTTCTCCCAGGAAAGGGTCCGAGAGCATTCACATGACCTTCACACCAGAGCCCTTGGTGGGTGTTTGTTTTGCTGAAGGCGCTGTTGGGTTTTCTGAGCAAGGACATCTCATTGTCGGTGCAGGAGCTGCTTGGGTGTGCTCCTTGGCTCCGCAGGCCCCCATCCCAGTTACTGTGTGAAGTTTTCATAGTCCCCTCAACACCCTGTTCTGCCCCTTCTCTTCCTCAGGTGATGGCAGCTGGGGACAAGGCAGGCGGAGGCAAGGGAAATAAAAATCACCACCACTGCTTTGGTCTGTGCTTCTGTTGCCATAGTGATGTTGACAGGTGACACACAGGTGAGCGGTTCTTCCTACCATGGAGCCAATGGACAGTGGAGGCCAGAGAGGGATGACATAAACGTAAAAGACCCCATGCCTCCTAGCTTCGTGAGCCTCTGGGACTTCATGAGACCATCGGGTCCATTCCCTGCCTCTTAGCCAAAAATCAAATGGATGGACATTATTCCTAAAGACCCTCAAGAACAAAGTCCGCCACATCCTAAGGCACCTGTTAGGCTCATATTTCACAAGATTCATGACCTTGGGTGGGTTTAGTGACTGAGATCATCTTCTCTCCATGTCCTTCCAGCCCAGGTCCTCCTCCACCGCAGACACTCAATCTGGACTCACTTGTTCCTGTCCCACCGCAGCCAGCTGTGGTCCTCTCAGGGTCCCCAGCCCTGTCCTCTGCTCTGGAGTGGGAATGTCCCCTGCCATAGCAAGAAGCCCCCGACCACCAGACACAGGCACAGACCTGCTGCCTAACAGCTCAGAGTGGGGCAGGGCAGCCCTCCCAACAGGAGGTTGTCCTCCCTCCCAGTGAAACCAAGCAGAGAGAACAGGAAGGGCTGGTTTTAATGAGGATCTTCAAAAGCCTTTGCGACAGCAGAGAGAGCCCAAGGCAGCTGGGAGACCCGCACTGATGGCAACAGGGCTCTTGTAATTCCAGCGGACCCTGCAAAACAGAAGTGGCTCTGCTAGGTTAGGAGTGTGGCCTTTCCCCCCCTCACATTAAAACAAAGAAACAAACCAAAAAGCAGCTTTTAAAATTGTCTCAGGAATTATCTTGCTTAAAAACTGTGTTGGCCTTGTGGGTGGGGCTAGGGGAGAATGGAGAACTATGGATTAGACCAGGGGAGTGGGGGGGACGGGTGGGAATGACAGTAGAGCCAATCGGACATTCCTAGCCAGTGTGACGACCGTTCCGAGGCCCGTGTAACCTACGTGTGTACAACCAGAAGATTATAAGTTACACTCCACTGGTGCGTCAAAGGCAAGCGCTCTCAGTAAGACTAATTAGAACAACAACAAACGCCACATTGGCCTCAGTGGCCCAGCCAGGGTTAGAGCAGCCGATCCCAGGAGCACTGCTTCTGTTCATCACAGGAGCAGGAGCACGACTGGGTGCTGACATCCGCCCCATCTCCACCGCTCTCCACCCCTCCCTGCTCCGTTCTCTTGATCCACTTCACTCAGTAGGAAGAGCCCTGTCACTGACAGGTTGGACCAGCCTAGCCCTCTCTTCACTGTCCCTAATTCCCCAGAACAGTGTCAGGAAGTGAGCCACTGGCACGGGACTTCTGGTTTCTCCACTTGATCTCTTCCTCCCTGGACCACTAAGCCACTGCTTCTTCTCCAAGGCTGAGGCCGCCTCGAGGGTGAGGCTGACACGCACCCCAAGGCTGCCTCCGTCTGGTGTCTCCCAGCAGCTGAGCATCGTGTGATTTTGCTAATTAAGCCGCTTTCTTGTCTTCAATTAGCTGCATGTGAATCTTGTTGGGAAGTCCTGGATCCGTGAAATAGTCTGGAATAAAAATCAAAAAGAAGAAATCCTCTCGACTCAGGGAAAAAGACTGGGAGACAGCTTCTCTGCTAAAAAGCTAGGGTGGCAGGGTCCTAGCCACTGCTGGTGGCCCACTTTCCAACATAATGGGTAGTCACAGCAAATCCCCGTGGTCACTGCCCTCACCAGAGCAGCTGAGTGTGCAGGCTCAAAAGGCCCTAAGGGGTTGGGGATTTGCTCAGTGGCAGAGCAAGCGTCTAGCACGCGCAAGGCCCTGGGTTAAATCCTCAGCCCGGGAATAAAAAAAAAAAATAGGATCAAATGGCCCTGGGTAGGGCTGACACAGGGTGGCTCCTGCTCCTGCCACACCATGCTGTTTGTCCTTTGCTGACGCACAAGGAGCCATCATCAAAGGGCTCGGGGATTCTCTGGGTTTTCTGCTCCCAGCCCATCTTGGGGCCCAAATACATGCCAAGAAGTATTCTTGTCTCCACGCAGCTAGCCAGCTCCCGTCTCTGAAAGGTACGCCTTCTCTGCGAATACCCTCCCAGAGGAGAGCCAGGCTCTGCTGTCTGACGACAGAAGAGGGTTTTATACACCCGCAGAATGTGAGTCAGGCAGCATCTGCCGCGGCAGCAAAGCGGACTTAGATTCCCTTAGACACAGTTGGAGGACACAGCCAACTCCCAGGGTTAACTGCACCCAAAACAGCCCTCTAGATACTGCTGACCTTAAGCCATCTCGCAGCCAAGTGCACGACCAGCACCTGGGGAGCCTTTGAAACTCTGGAGCCGGGCCTACCCCAGGCTGATTGCATCAAACTCTCTGGGGTGGGGCCTGAGCATCGGTTCTTTTAAAAGGCTCCCCAGGTGATGGTAAGGCACAGCCAGGGTCAGAACTGCTTCAGAGTCTCAGGGCAAGGGCTGCCCGTAAATTCCTTTGGGAATCTCGGAATTCTGAACAATCCCCACCAAGAGGAAGTTCTGCCTCCTTTCTCATCTGGCCTCATTTTGAGGAGAGGACAGTAGAGTAGAAGCCTTCTGAGAACAGCTCCCTTGAGGGACATCAGGTGAAGGAGGACCCCACCCCACCCGGGGGCCAACTGACCTGCCCTACTCACCTGCCGCAAACTCTAGGATGTTGTCTGGTCTTTTCAGAAACATTTCTCTGGAAAACATTAAGGGACAGGGAAGGAGATAGCACAGGTTTAAGAAGGCTGTGGCCACTGCTTCCACCCCAGGCTCTCTCATAGCAGATTGTCACACCCATTCCAGAGGTCAGTAAGCCAGGGGACCAAAGACAAGGACCTTTCCATTTGTGATTTTTCTTCAACTTGGATCTAGGCAAGGAGTAAAACATCCTAAGTGGGAACACGGGCTACTGCTCAGTTCACAGAAGAGCTGTACTGCTAAATACATCTGGTCATCCACTCATCAAGCATTTTCACAAAACCAGGAACAAGCCAGGGACAGAGAGCAAACTTGAGAGTGTCTGCAGGTTCCTCAAGGGACACCAGTGTGATGGGACAGACATGCAGACCCACAGTGTCCCAAGGGAGTCTAACTATGAATTTCCATGGGGGAGCAGGAAGGTGTTCAGCAAGTCCAGCTGTATACCTATATTCCCAGTGGAAGCACTGGAATATAGAGGCTCTGGGTTCAATTTCCAGCATCACAACAAGCGAAACAAGGAGAATAGGTAAATAGCATATGGTACAGTCATACAATCACAGAAGTAAGAATGGAAGATCTACTAGATACTGAGCAAAGAAGGCAGGCACAAAGGAACACATATTACAGAATTCCACTTATGTAAGATTCCAAAGAGGCAAAACAAATAGGGGCTATCAGAAGTCAGCCTTCGGCCTGGGAGGCTGAAGCAGGAGGATTGAGAGTTCAAAGCCAGCCTCAGCAACTTAGTGAGGCCCTAAGCAACTAAGCAAGACCCTGTCTCAAAGTAAAAAATATAAAAAGAGGCTGGGGATGTGGCTCAGTGGTTAAGTTTCCCTGGGTTCAATCCCTCATACCAAAAATAAAAAATAAAAAAAATACTGGTTATCATTTGAGGGGAGTTGTGGGAGACCAACCTTACATGTGACTGAGTCACACTCCCCGGCTGGGTGCTGAGGCGCTCAGTGGCAGAAATGTGGCAGAGCTTTCCCCACCCTTCTTGGGTGCAAGGGTCGGTGTCTCGTGCATGGGTGTGTCTTGCTACAGCCCCATGAGTGAAGCTATGCTCACCTGTTCCTTTGTAATCTAACCCCTTGCCCTGTTTAGGATAGAATCTTCCATGGAAGTGCCTTGTGTGTGTCCCCTTCTCTTACTGTGCCCTTGGGTGTGGCCCACCCAGGTGTCAGTCAACCTGCTGACGTTGGCCTTCTTAGGTTGGCTCAGCCCCCTGAAACCTGACCCCTTGCCTCATTTCAATAGCTTCTCCTCAATAAAAGGGGTCAGTGTGTGCTCTTGCTCTCCCTTCCTGCTGACCCTTAAGGTCAGAGGAGCCGTCACAGTGACCCCAAAGAAAAAGGTATTTGTGTCTCTTGTGGGGTTATTGTGCACAGCCCAGTTAGCCCAGTTTACCTGGAGGGACCCCTGAGCCAGCAGGGAGTGTCTAGAAGGGGCCACAAAAGGTCTTAGGTGCTGCTCACATTTAATCTATTCACCTGGACACTAGTAGCATGTGTGAGTTCAAGTTCATCCAGCTTAGAATATGTCATTTCTCTATATATTTTCATAAAATGTTTAGAAACAAAAAAAGATAAGATAGAGTCACTGAAGATTTTTCCAACCAAGGAGTAATATGACCAGTACTACAATTTGGAAGTTTCATCTGCCTAGGTTTTTACCAAAACATCTAATAAAGCTTTCTACAGTTTCACATATGACTATCATATCTCTGGCCCCAAACCTTTAGCTTCTGGGTGCCTAAAATAAATTTGACCTCTACTCTTTTCATTATTCAGGTCCAAAATTGGAAGTATTAAGGTAAGGATTCTGTACAGCATATTTCTGTTATAGACTGGAGAAGTGTGGCTGAATGACCATCAATCACGAGATTCCAGAAAATTCAAGGGGCAAGTTCACAAAAATGGTTCTGAGCTTCTCTTGGCTTGGGGCAAGTAGAGAGCAGAGACCTGCAAGTTGGGCAGAGACAGGCAAGCTGACCTCTCCACACCCTTCCTCTTCTCACAGGAAGGACCCTGTGAAATATCAGGTACAAAGACGGGGCTGATTCTGGCTCACCCTGCTACCACTCAAAGGAAATAATAGTCACCCCCACACAAAGCAAACCCTGCAGCTGTAACATAGCCCCCTTCCACCCTAGAAAAAGGCCTAAAAAGGGCCAGGAGGAGTTCATGCAGGGCAGCTGCAGGAACAGCAAAAGGAAGAGCCTGGTGGCCAACCTGGTCTTGGGAAGGGGGGTGATGGCAAGGAAGGAATGGGAGGGCACCTGGGGCTTCCCTGCAGCAGCCAGGCCCAGACACCAGGCCTCCTCCTGGAAACTCTTCTGTACCGAGAAGCAGGGCATCCCCAACATGTGACTGAAACCACAGCCCCCTCTTCACTCACCACCCCCAAGTGTTCTAACCCTGTTGTTTGTGAACAATGAAGTGGTGATGTAATTCAGGCTTTTACCGTTTATACCCAATCTCCCTGCTGGAACCATTCCTAACTTGGATTGCACACTCCCTAGCATAAGAAACCACGTCCCTCTTTGTTCCCTTAAGAGGAAAAGATGCAAAAGGGGGTGGCCTGATCCCAGGTCTGGTACTGACAGATGACTCCTGTGCCTTTATCCCTGACCCCAGGAGCCCACTTTCACCAGGAACTGAGCAGGTTTCAGCTTTCCCTGCTGCTTCCCTGCCCTGTGAGGCTGCTGCTGGGAGAAATGGCTAAAATATGAAGAATAGCGAGACCCAAGAAAACAAAAAGGGGCCTTCAGGTCTGCGTGTGTGTGTGTGTGTGTGTGTGTGTGTGTGTGTGTGTG